ATTCTTCGAATCTTCAGGAATTTCGGAACGACTTTCGAGTCTCTACATCTTTGGAGATTGAGGTAATGTGCGTATGCTGGCTTCCACATTTGCTATGATGTCTTCGTATGGCAGGTCTTTCGGTGTTATCGCAAAATTGCCTCCTTTTCTCCGAACACTGGTTTCCGAATCAGTCAGAACGCGTTGGGTCAGGTTGACCACTGTGCGATCATTGCCTGTGGGTTTCGTAGTGTTTACTGGCTTCAAGGAGTTAAACTGGTAAACAAGTTTAACTCCTTGAACCCAGTAAACACTACGAAACCCACAGGCAATGATCGCACAGTGGTCAACCTGACCCAACTCATTTCATCGAAAAGATCAGTGATATCACTCTATTACCAAACGACATTCTGGTTAGTTTTGATGTCGTCTCATTGTTTACTAAAGTACCAGTAAATCAGGCCTTAGAGTATCTGAAAGATGTTTTTCCGGAAGAAATCAACAACTTATTTCACCACTGTCTGACGACTACGTACTTTCAATGGCAAAATGAATTCTTTGAGCAGACAGATGGAGTCGCAATGGGAAGTCCACTCAGCCCGGTTATCGCCAACTTTTACATGGAACACTTCGAACAAATGGCACTACGAACGGCTACAAAGAAACCTACTTGTTGGTTTCGCTATGTAGATGACACATTTGTTGTTTGGAACCATGGAGAGGCAGAGCTCGAAAACTTCCTTAATCATCTAAACTCGATAGAACCCAGGATACAGTTTACGATGGAAGTTGAGAAGGATAACAAAATTGCATTCCTCGACGTCCTCTTAGAAAGATCACCCTCAGGTAAACTGGGACACAGAGTGTACAGGAAGCCGACACATACGGACAGATACCTCAACAAGGAATCTAATCACCATCCTAGGCAAAAGAGAGGAGTCATTAAAACTCTATCTGACAGAGCAATCCGGATTTGTGAACCCAGATACCTTCAGGACGAGATGCAACACCTAAAATCGGCACTTGAAGGAAATGGGTACTCCAAGCAGGAGATAAATAGAGCCATAAGACCGAAGCAGCAGCGCACAACTAACAAGGAACCAGCACAGGTGGCAGGGAGAGCCTTTCTTCCCTATATCAAAAATGTCACAGATCGCATAGGACGAACGCTAGAAAGACACAACGTTAAGCCTATCTACAAGCCCACAAGAACAATTCAGCAAAGTCTAAGATCGGCCAAGGATCCTAGGGCACCTCTTGAATCGGCTGGCGTCTATAGAATTCCCTGCTCTTGTGGATCTGTCTCTGTAGGAACAACCAAACGCTCTATCAACACCAGGGTCAAAGAGCACAAAAGAAACTGTCAGCAAGGACAAATAGATAGATCAGCAATCGCCGAACACGTGCTTACACAAACAAACCATGTCATTCGTTTCGACCAGACTCAAACATTGGATAGAACCAAACATTTCTACACCAGGCTCCACAGAGAAGCCATAGAGATACAGAAACACCACAACAACTTCAACAGAAAAGAAGAGGGCATGAACCTCAATAAAAGCTGGTTGCCAGTTCTCCGAAAAACAAAGACCCTTCCTTTCCGAGAACGAGACAAGGAAAATACCGTAACCCAAGCCACGCCCACAACCCTGGATATAAATAACGCAGTTCCCTCAACGTCGAATTCAGTCATCGGAGAAACACGGAAGAGAACACTTCGTCCTCTACCACACCGCCTCTGAAGATGTCTACCGCAGCAGTAGACGAAACGTTAGGTAGAAATACTAATGGACCACGGCATTATAGCCCGGAAAAAACTTTTTTGCTATAATTTGACCGGCCGTGAAAGCCTTCATTCTTTTTTCAAATTATAGTTTTGTTATTTTTGAAGGTAGAAAATCTGGCCCAGCGTTTTTCCGTAGTCAACAGAAAAAAAAATTGCCGAAAGACTCTGGCCTGGAAACAAAATAGTTATTAGGTACCTATCCTAACAAGTGCAGAAAGTTATTTATTTATTTCATCACTTTACAAACACCAAAAATAGTAATTACATGTAAAGTTAAAACAGCGGAGTGTAAAACACAAAAATAAAGATAGAGTACACAATATAAACATATGTGACTAATTTAAAAGGGCCTTCAATTGATTTAAAGTTACATTAAAAAGATCTACCTGGACCTCATTAAGTGCTTGGTTCGCAACTGTCATCATGCGATTAAATGGTGACATATTATTACTAGGATCAGTATCAAAGTATTTCTTGTTTTTCATAATTCTTAAGTTAATCTTTGGTACAATTAAGGAGACATAGTTAATTAAATTACAATCCTTATACTTTAAGTTGTTTAAAATATAAAACAAAAATATCACAGCCTGATTATTCCTTCTTTCCACTAATGACTTTATCTCAAAACTAACAAGCATATCCCTGTAAGGAACCATATATGAGTAAATATTATTTTTAACCACATAGAGATACCGCAAAAATCTCTTCTGCACTTTTTCAATTTCATCAATATGCGTGGCTTCCAATGGCATCCAAATTTGTGATGCATATTCAAGGTGCGGTCTCACCAGAGCATTATACAAGTTAATAATTGTACTTATTTTAAAGTTCTTACTATTCCTGATTACAAAGCCAAGTGCTTTTACTGCTTTATTGACAACATGATGAAAATGCTTATTGAACTTCATGTTGGCCTGGAAAAAGACACCCAAATCCTTCACCTCTGTTTGGCGATCAAGCTCAGTATCACCAATTTTGTATGTTTCTTCTATTGGGTTTGTTCGTCTCGTAAAGCTGACAACAGAACACTTATTAACATTTAGGGACATTCTGTTGATGTTGAATTAGTCCATCACCCTATCCATGTCACCCTGAAGCCTTCTGCAGTCCTCTCGCCGCTCAACAATCCTACAGAGCTTGAAGTCATCAGCAAAAAGAAGTCCCATAGAGTCCCTCAGGCAGTCGGGCAATGAATTGATGAAACACAAAAAGAAAAAAGGCCCAGTTTACTACCCTGCGGGACACCTGAGGTTGCAACAAACGCCTCAGAGTTGCAAGCGCCGACCCTTACTGTCTGGACCCTGCCTATGAGGTATGACCTCACAAGATGGTAAGCATCCTCTGACACCCCAAACTCAGCAAGCTTGCAAAGCAGCAACTCATGGTCCACTCTGTCAAAAGCCTTCTCACAATCTGTGTAAATGACATCCAACTGGCTCTTATTCGCGATCGCCTCAGCCGCCATTTCAGAGAATATAGAGAGGTTTGTTATTGTTGACTTATCATTTAAGAATCCATGCTGGTATTTAGAAATTTTAGGTTTTAGAAAGTAGAAAGTTTGAAAGATCATCATAAAGTATTGTTTCAAAAATTTTTGTTAAAATATTAATGAGGCAAATCGGTCTATAGTTCCTAATTTCGTCCTTTCGTCCTTTCTTGAAAATAGGCGTAATCTGAGCATTCTTCAAGGCATCAGGAAATTGTCCACTTCCAATAGAAAGATTGAAAATATGTTATACCTTCCCTTTTTGACAAATTTTTTTCTCGGAGATAAACCTATCGAACTTTATATCATTGAAATCAGCAAAAGTAGAGCTTTTTAATAAGCTACTTAATAATATGTAGACTGTCCTATTGAAAAAAATAAGATTTTGGTCAATATCTCGAAATCGAAGCATAATAAAAAGAAATTCTTTACGGAAATCAATTATTTTCATTAACAAAAAAGTTATGAAGTTTTCACAGTATTACGCAGAATCGGGAATCGACCTCTAGCAGCACCAATCAAGATTTCATAAAATTTAAGCCTCCAAGGGGGGGGTTGATTTTTTCTATTTCTAAAAATAAAGGGTGTTTCCATAAGAAAGTGTCCAATCTGGATCACCCTGTACTTTCTTTAATCTACAAGTAAAGTCAAAATAAATGTCCAAAAAATCATTGTTGATAATTCTTAACCTGCGCCCCCCACCCCCCTGAAGAAAATCCTGGGTCTGCCATTGCTTTGTTATTCTGATTAGGTTTGTTTACGTAAGTATGTTTACATAAAAAGCAAAAGTGTTTATATAAAAGCAAGAATGTTTACATTAAAAGAAAAAACTGTTTTCTTTAATAGTAGATTATACCACGAGTCAATAATGATAGCTATTATCCCCGAGGAATATTTACGAACTGAGCCGCGTCAGCGGCGAGGGAGTAACATTCCGAGGGAATAATAGCCATTATTGCAAGTAGTATACTCTACTTTATTTACGACAAATAAATTTATTTGAGATTTTTAATAGCAAATTTCATTCATATCAATACAAATCCACAAGCACTACACGTTTGACACTGACACTTTTGAGGAATAATGACCATTAATCCCGCTATTCGTCATTATTCCCTGGGGGTGACATTAGTAGTAAATAAAAAGGTTTTATGAATATATTTTGAGGGTTGAAATTATAAAGTTTAGTTAGTTATGGTTAGGCCTTCCAAGTGCATTGCAGTTCTGTGCAGAACAAAATATAAAATTTCTAGTAAAAGCCAAATCCACTGTGTATTATTTTATCCCATAACCAACAGAGACGGTTCAGTATGTGTCAAAACTAAATTGAGACCAACTGAAATAAACTTTCAAGAGAAGTTTAGAAGTTGAAAGGCGCAAGCCGCATAGGGTGGTTCAAAAGGCGCGCCGGATTTAAATTATTGCTCGCCATTTTGTTATGTATTGCTTAGCAACAAGGTTCTGTATAAAATTGACATTTTATTCAAGTGCCATCATAGAACCAGCATGGAACGCTCAGATCGGCCAGATCGGGGACGCCCAGAATTTTTATTGTTGAATGTTGATCCTCTTTGGTTGAACTTTTTCTGTTTGCGCCCTGTTGATTCATTGGGCGCGTGATTACGCACGAGAATCGTAAAGCTTTCCATAAAACGTTTTCACAGTTAACACACTTTGCTCACTTGAAAAGCGTTGCATGATGGCACTCGAATAAAAGTGGATTAACTTTCGCAATTGGAACATATTTACCTGGAACGTTGCAATTTACAATCTCAGCGTCGTCCATCACCAATTTCAAATTTCCATAAACGAGCCCTTTCTGAGCAGTTATATTTAATGCCCAGGGGCCCACTTTAAGAATTCGTGAGATATTGCATATAATTGTATCCACTAAATATGGCTTTTTGAGTATGGTTCGAACTTGATAATAGATTTCCCTTGAAAAAAAAATGCTTGCTTAGTGATGCAACCTATGGATGCAACTAATTTATATTAAAATATACACTAGTTTTTCAATTATCTTTAAAAAATAAACAACTTGGCTTTATACATACATAATGTAATAAAAGCAAAACATAATAGGAAAAGTATAGTGTTCTACTCGTCAGAAATCATTTTTTTGGAAACATTACATTACCTGTAAGCTTTTTTCTCGTTACAAAAAATGCTGTTCTCGTCAATCGTTTTAAACAATATAATGTACTATTATATGAATGGGCTGCTTACCTTTTTGTAAGTTTCGTATCAGTTTCTAATAAAATCCTGATTTTATTCAATACAAACAGCATCACATTAAATCTCGTTGGGCCCACCATGTTGTTGATCTTGAAACATATCCTTCTGAGTCGGGCCGATTCTTTTATTTGGTACCTAAAATAGGTAGGAACATTTAATTTTTCAAGGGCCCGTATTTCAAGGTCACTGTAGGATACAAAATAACTTTTGAGTCATTTCTAATACAAGTTATACACTGGCCAGAAAAATTAACGCACCACTAACTTATTTCTATTTTTATGAGGTTGAAATTAAAACTATGGATTGGCTATCAAACAGTTCTGATCTTAACCCAATTGTGGATGTCTGGGACATGCTCTATCGCCATTTTCAAAAACTTCCTAACACTTTAAATGGGCTTTGGAGATATTGTCCAAAATGCAATAATTTGGATTAAAACGAGATAAGGCCCGTAATTTCAACATAAATAATCGCTGCCGTGCTATCATCCAAAATAAGAGGAGGAAATACCGTTTGTTAATTATTTGTGACTCTGCGTAAATCAAACCAGGGAAGATTAAACTCAAATGCTGACTCTGCCGTAGTCTGTGTCAAAAATAGCGCTGACACGAAACAAAAGAATTGTCGTGTAACGTGGAAATAATTGGATCCCAAATCAAGAATGAACATCCCAAAGATATCGCTATGGAGATAGCGAACGACTTGCTGGACTGCAAATTTAACGGCCCAGAAATGCTCGTTTGTTATAAGAGGGAGTCGAAGAAAGGTGCAGCAATTATTGTGAAATTTTCAACTGTTGAGCAGAAAACCCATTTTCTTTCTCAAAGAAAAGGACGCAAACTGGAATCCAACATGCTTAAGCACAATCAAGGTAAAGCTAGCAATCATATTTACATTAACGAACAATTAACTTTTTCCAACCAAAATTTGTTTAATATGGCATACAAGATCAAGAAAGAGAAACAATTTAAATATTGCTGGACAAAGAATGGAAAGGTTTATCTAAAGAAGAGTGATGATTCCCAAGCAATTCTTGTTTTTAATGAGGACGTCCTCAATAGACTACAACATTAACAAATTTAGTAGTCTTCTGATCTTTTGAATAATCATCTTGAAATTACTTATCACAATGTCTGCATTTAATCAAGATATCAAACCGAGTGTCAAACAATACAAAGATATTTCAAAATTTAAGTTAGCCATAACTACAAGGTGTTTGATCGAATCACACCTTAATATTGTATGCCTGAATGCTCAATAATTGAGGAACAAGCTTGGTGAGTTGGAAACACTATTTAATAGTTTTGATCTTCCAGATGCAATTGTAATTACTGAAACCTGGATATCTCCAACTGAAGTTCAATATTTTAATTTTAATGGATATAATACAATTTATATAAGTAGACAGAATAGAGGTGGTGGAGTGGTTATCCTACTGAAAGACAACTATATATTTCAGATAATATCAAAACTTGAAACAAATTGTTCTATGGTTTTCATTTCTATTGAGGGGACTGATGCTATTATTGGAGCCATATATAGGCCACCCGACTTCGATTATAATTTATTTTTACAACTACTGGATGAAAAACTTGGCCTTATGGCAAGTAAAGGCAAAACTTTGTGGGTACTGGGAGATTTTAATATCAACTTTTTAAGTCTCACCGCTCAACGTGACCTGCTTCAGTACATAGCTAATTCTAACGGTTTTAATATTGTAAACCAAACGATTCCCACAAGAATAACAAGTAATTCAAGCTCCCTAATCGACTATGTAATAACCAATAACTTGAGATATACCAGTAGTTTGTCTCTAATAGATTATGCTCTGCTTGATCATAAGACTCCAGTTTCTGTCTGTAGGATCTAGGAAAAGAGTTGACAGTAATGCAAGCAGCACTTATACTATTACGAGTTTGAACAAAACATTATTCAGAAGGGACTTAATTCAATTAGGAATCTGTGAATGGCATGACCCTAACATTTTGTGTGATCAAATGATCCGTACTTATTTGAATAATTTGAACCATAAAACTTATAGAAATCGATTTCGAAGCAAAAGTGCACCATGGTTCAATGTAAGATTATACAACTTATTGTGTCAACGTGATTACCACTACAAAAGACACAAATTATTTCCTAACAATGTCTTTTTAGAAGGCCAATATAAAAAATCTCAAAAGGAATTCAAAAGGGCCATAGAAAATACCAAAAAAGAGTATTATAGTAATGAGATCAACAGGGCAGAAGGCAACACAAAAAAGCTATGGAATGTACTCAATTCTGTTCTACATAATTCCAAACCACAACCAGCTAGTAATAAAGTCCCAAAACTCTTGGAAAATAACACACTGACTGATAATCCAATAGAAGTAGCGAACTTGTTTAATGATTATTTTACTGGGATAGCTGCAAACCTTGCTAGCAACATTCCTCCTACAAATCTCATACCGCAAATGCCAGATAGCGGGAGACACTTATATAATTGGGAAAATGCCACCATAGAGGAAATTGCAGAAATCGTGAAAAACCTTAAACCAGGCAAGGCTCCAGGAGCCGATGAATTGAGTATTGACGTAATCAAAGAGTTCGGAGATGAGATGGTGCCTCTGCTGTGTAAACTTGTGAACCTCACACTTGTCAAGGTTTCCATTCCTAATGGGTTGAAAATGGCGAAAGTTATCCCACTCTTTAAAGACGGAGATCGCTCTTCAGTTCACAATTACAGGCCCATTTCATTATTGACGGCTATCTCAAAAGTATTGGAGTCTTGTGTTAACAATCGACTAAATTTTTTTCTTGATTCAGTTAACTTTTGGTACCCTGGTCAGTATGGATTTAGGCGAAATAGCAGTACAGTCTCCGCCACAACTGACTTATTAACTAACATTTATGAAAAAGTTGATAAAGGATTTAAGTGCGTTTTGCTGTCATTGGATCTAAAAAAAGCTTTTGACACAGTGGATCATTCTGTCTTGCTGTCTGTTCTGGAACAATCTGGTATTCGTGGCACGGCTTTGTTGTGGTTCAGAGAGTATTTGGATGGGAGATTGCAGTTTGTTCAGTGTGGTGGTAACAAGAGTTCAACTAAAGACATACAGTATGGAGTGCCGCAGGGTTCTATCTTGGGACCAACCTTATTTTTGGTGTACATAAATTCCATTTCACTTCTTCGTCTGAATGGAGCCGTAAATTTGTATGCAGATGACACTTGTCTATTGTATTTTGGAAGGGATCCGGATGTAATGAAAGATATTGTAGAGAAGGATTTAAGGACAGTAAGTGAATGGCTACGTTTCCATAAATTAACCTTAAATGTTGAAAAATCAAGTTACATGGTTATTACTAAAGGTGATGACTGGCAACAATTGATTATAAATTTTCATAGTCAGCCTTTATTACGCAACAACTTTATAAAGTATTTGGGCCTTAATATAGACTCTAAACTCACTTGGGAGGTTCATATTGGTGTTTTATGCAAAAGGATCGCTCCAGCAGTGGGTGTTCTCGGAAGGGTTTCAAAATATTTACCTATACTTCACCGTAAAATGATTTACAACTCTTTAATACATTCACACTTATCATATTTAACATTATTATGGGGCAATGCCACATAAAATAAAATACACCCACTATGTGTCCTTCAAAATAAAGCAATAAAAAAAATATTTAATTTACCCTATCTTTTTCCAACAGATCAACTGTATTATCCCAACAAGATTCTGGACATTCGCTCGCTTCATATATTTCAATGTTGCATTTTTATCCATCAGTGTAAATTGTCGAATATTCATACATCTATAGCCCTTACCCGTGGTAATATGATTCATAATCATAACACCAGAGCTAACGATAATTTCAGGACTTCTGCTATGACATCCACTGCTGGGCAACGCAGCATTCTCTGTGAGGGATTAAGACATTATAATTTGCTTCCCAATGAGATAAAGAATGGGAACCCAAATTGTTTCAAGTTTTTATTGAAGGATCACATTTTTGGTGGTGGTCTTAAATAACTGGATGTTCACATAATGAAATTTAACGTAGAAACATTAACAGATTCATCATTGTTTGATTGTATGCTGTGTGGTTTATGCTATGAATACTTCATTTAGTTTATAGTTTATTTTTTTTTATGATCCATATAGCTTAAAGCTCAGGATCTTTAACATTTAAGTTCAAAAACTGTACAATCTATATGAATAAAGGATTATTATTATTATTATTATTATTATTACTTTAACTAAAGTTAAAAAAAAAAAATTGTTTTTTTTTTTTTTTTTCTTACCTTCTTTTGGAATTTTATCTTTTGTTGGTAATACCCTTATTAAGTTAGAATAAGAATATAATTAATCAAGACATAAAAATATTTTATCAATGTTATGAAATAAAAAATATTTTTCGAAATATAGTGGTGGTGCGTTAATTTGTATATATCGCGGTATATACCATATATTCCCTTAATTCAAGGTGGATATTGAACTCACCTAGAAGAACTTCAAGTTAAGGTTTGGGGTACCTTAGCCTAAGTATTAATTTTGAAGTAACATTGAAATACTGGCCATAAGAAACTAAAAAAATAATAGACTCACCTCTCATCCTTGAAAATATAGTCAATAGACATTGGAAATTCAAAATACGGCGTGTCGTTATTTTCGTAATCTTCCAAAATACCAATTATGATTGTTTGAATCTGTACCAGAATGGAGGTTCTGTCAAGTTCTTTGGGAGCCGATTCAGAGTATCGCGAAAACTGGAGAGTAGGATCTTTGTACAGCTCATCTATAGCCTCGCGTAATAATAATTGAGTTTGAGATAAGTTTTCTGACTCATTACTCGTTGGTAGGACGTTCAAATTTGTGTCATCTGAAAAATATAGAGCAACTCAGCGAACAAACATTTGTTTTTCCTTAACACTCACGAACCTTATATACAGGGTGATTGGTACCTCGATGAGGTAAGGAGTAAATTCAACCGTAAAAGGCTTTATGCAAAACTCAATAGTTTTTGAGATATTTTAATGTTTCTGTTTTTCTTAAAAGCATAGATCTAATTGCCTTCAAAATTAATTAGAAAAAAATCTACTGTACATTTTTTTCAACTTTTCTACTGGAAGCTGAGGCACGAACTACTTAGAAGAATACGAAATAGATTATTTAGTTAGATATTTTCAACAACAACAAAATGCTTGCTGCTCCGATCGATCAACATTTTCCTCTAGAATTAAGTGAGACAAATTTCAAAAAACCCTAGGTAGGAGAAACAACAAACTGAAATATCTCAAAAGTAGGGGCCTGTTAAGATAACGAGAAAAGGGATGAAAAAAAATTGTAAGCAGCTTGTTTACTATTGCTTCCGTTAAGTTTGGCAAAACATCAAATTATTTTGCAGTTCGCCGTTTGGCTTGCCAGACTATACACGTGCATGCAGGCAATCAAATCGATCAACAATCATGAAAAGATTATCTAGGTATAATAAAACAACAATTTCATATTCCATAGGAACAGCTTTTTACGTGAAGTGTGAAAGTGTGTCCACATCAGAGTGTCGAGTGAGAAAATATTGTCAAGCCAAAAAATATCACCCTTTGCAACATTATTATTTCAATAGGGATTAACCAAACTACATTGACAAGTGATGTCCTAATTTAGTTGGGCAATACGGATGTTATATTAAAAAAAGCAAACGCATCAGGATGTTAGCAAAAAGCTTAGAGCCAACGACCTAGGTTTTAGGTCAATGATTTTTGCTGACATTTCTGAATCGATTTGGATTGATAAGGCGTCATTTTCGAGTTAGTTGTAAATCTAAAATCGGGCGCTAAAGTTGTGCTACTACGGACTACGCTACCTGCTACAGAAAAATGGGTCTCCGATAAGTACCGTTATTTAAAATTTATAAATTATGTCTTAGTGTTCTCATCGGTTAATCAATCCTTCAGTTTTAATCAATGAACTCGATTATTCTAAATGTTTTGGGACTTATTGTTTTAATTCATTAAAACCCCAAAAGATCCCAAACTCCCAGTTGCAACAAAATAGGCTGTGACAATAATTATCAGAAAATCAACAAGAAGATGATCATTATTACTAAACAGCCTTTCCAAGTAAACACTAAATTAGGATTAGAAAGTGTATTCCAAAATAAATTGCAATATAAGGTTAAGAAAGTTATCAACTGTTGAATATTGAATATAGTGGAAGTTTAGGAGAATTTCTTTACCTGTCATATATGAATTCGGCGAGGATACTCTCTCAAGTTCTTCTACGTAAGTCAAGGATTCATCGTCCCTAAAATCTTTATTGGCTTTTTCTGTAAATCGATTCATAATTTGCTCTTCGGGTGGCTGATATTGTTCGTTGAATTTGGATTTAAATTGTTGTTTTATTTTAAAAATACGCATATTATCTTTTGTGTATCTGTATGGTAAAGAGAAAAGTTCAATAACATTGTAAGTGCATAATATAAACTTACTTCTTGATATAGGTTTTTGCAAGTACTTCCTGTTCATCACTAATCTGGATCTTTCGCCTATTTTTGTGAAGAGACTTCAAAATGTCATTTTTTTGAGTCAAAAGTTCTTTCAACAAATTATCCTTGTGAATGATGCAATTTGCTAGTGCATTACTTTCCCTTAACTTGCATTCCTTTTGGGCTATTTCATTATCCATTTGACTGCAACACTTCCTATTTTCTTGGCTAATCATAAACGGATCCTCTTGAAACATATTTGGTTGTGATGAAAATATATTGTTAGATTCAACCGTTGGTTTATTTGAAAAATTAAACCATTTGTCAGGTTTATTAAATAATAGGTTTTCATCATAATCATTGGATGTGAATAGCGTATCAATAATGTTCTCTGTAAATAATGTATCATTGATTAGATCTTCTGTAATTTGCATATTTTCATGATTTATTATTGATTCTGGTGGAACATTTATAATATCGATTTCCCTATTATTCTTGGTTGCATTATCCCTAAAAGTTGTTGGTTCATTATCATGTTGTTCCACACAACTTGTAGATATGAAATTAGTCTTCATATCTGGTTTATTTTTATTTTGAGTGTCTACCTTTGAAACTTCAGGTGCACTCTGTTTACAACTAACTATGTGTATAGGTTGGTTTGGAGTGTTCTGCATATCACATGAGAAGTTGGTTATTGTAGGTTGACTTTGAGAGCATGGTCTGAAAATAAATTTTGATAAGAGATAAATATAATTAAATTGTACATACCTTTGTTTCATAGCAGCATTGCTATCACCTTCAACTACTCCAATATTTTTCAAATTTTGTACGTAACTTGCAGAGCCATTATTTTCTGTTGCACCTTGCTTTGAATTATCATTTTCCAGATTTTTTTCAATGTAATCAACTGCATTTTCTTTGAAAAAAATTGGTGTTTCACGGTTATCTGATGGTTTATCTGATATATTATCATTGCTTGGCATGGTTTCATATCCCTCACTAGAAAACAAGGTTGTTTGGGATATTATCTGAGACATCTGTGAAGCGGCAGCATTATTGACCATTTTTCTCGCAACAATTTCAGAATTATTTGGTTGAGATGTTTGATCAATTTCCTTGTTAAAAGCATCGCAATGATCAATAGACTGTATTTCCGATGCAGTTAACTTTAGCGATGCTCGTTCACTTTTGCCTTGAAGTAGCTTTCTTAGAAACGCGGCCGTTTCTTCAAATTTTGGAGGCCAATTATCTCCGTCAGGATTTGACAAACAAGTCGCGGACTGCTTAGACTTTACGAAGCGATCAGTTACTTTGTGAGATGCTGAAAAACGATCTGATATTTTATTGAGCTTGGGGTAACACATATCCTCAATGTCATAATTTTGTATTAACTGTTCCAGGAACAAAAAAGAAAATCCTGGCCAAACATGAAAAAAAAAGAGTTTATAAACTCTACATACCTGCATTAATTTTCTCAAACGTGGTGGCACTTGTAGCACTTGCAGGCTGTTGATCTTGAAGGTTTTTTTTGCAGTTAAAATAACTTTTGTCATTTAAAACTAAGTGGTCAAGAAGGTTAATGTTAGTTTCTTTTGCAAGGAATTTAGAAGTCTGCTGTGGTATGTCGCGATAAGATTCATTGGGAGGCACATTCTTTCCCGCTTTATAATTTTCAAATTCCCAAAAACTATAATTTTTATTGACTTCTTTATCTTGAAATAATAAATTTCTTTTGATTTGGCTTACTTTTTGAGAATTACATTGCTGCCTTTCAAAAAAAGATGTATTGTTTTTAGTCTCAAACATATACACATTAGGATGTTGTTGGAAACTTTGTTTGCTATTATAATTAATTTTTGTAAAAAAGTCCTGATGTGGTCTGTCTTTTTCAGATTCATTAAAACGTACAATTTTTCCAGCTGAATTATTTTCAAATTCTCGAGAAACCACATTCACTTGTTTGTCGTCAAAGATTAATCTCCTTTTTATACGGTTGGCTTCATAAAAATTACTTTGTTTTTCTTGAGACAATGATGGTTTGCTTATGGTCCTAAACCTATGACTAAAAATATTCGGTGAACATTTAGTTGTCTTTTTGAAGTGCATTTTGGTAATATCTTCGGGACTTGACTGAAAGCGTTTTACACTGTCAACACTAAGTAACGATTTACCACTACGACCACTATTCTCTTTATTTCTATTGAAAGTTGAAGTTGCCGGTTTAAAAACTATTGCTTCATTAGTAAAATTATGGCATTTATTCTGAGTTTCTGGAGTGTATTTAATTTCTTTTTGACACTCGAGTTCCTTTGAAATCAATTGGTCACTCCTGTCAGGTTCCTCGCAATAATAAAACTGTGGGCTTGATGATGAAATAGTGCTAGAGCTTTTGTTGCTTCCTAAAAAAATTCAAAAAAAACAAATTTAATCATCGGTTCAAACTGCTGCGTAAGTCAACGATAGCCCAAAGCTGATTTATGTACACTAAGGAAGCATTGTGTGTCCCGTGGGAAAGTTTATAGAGGGAAGATGCCACTCAAAATTGCATATTATGTTGGTCTTCCAAAGATAAAAAATCTTTTGTAATACCTACAATAAGATTTGTGATACAAATATTTTAATGACAAGGAAAGTTAATTTTTAAATGTAAGTAGTAATCATTATGTTCTTAAACTTCGTCTTCCCACGACAAAAAAAATAAATAAAGATTCCTGCGTGGGGTACATTCGCACCCCATGATAAAAATGATAGTTCTGATCGAGGTTCTGATAATTGAACATCAGTGGCGTGTCCAGGGGGGGGGCAAAGGGGGCAATTGCCCCCCCTAGAGCAACAATGTCTCATTTCTTAAAAATATCTCAAATAACAAAAAATAATATCTACTCGCGTGCGCAAAGTTATCATTTTGCACACTTATTTGCGTGCGTCATTTTGTTTCTGGTTAAACTAATATTCAAAAAGAAGGGCTTGGTGGTTGGTATTCAGCTAATGTTTAGCTTTTTTAATTTTACACTCTCCATATGAGGAGCGAAGCGAAGGGAGGAGAAATCCAGTAAAAACAGGTATAAGGTCAGGTGACCATTGACGTGGGTAGCTACGAAGTTTTATAGATATAACATTCCTTTGGAGTATCAGATCATAAAAGTTGTACAGCAAGTTATACTCCTTCATATACTTCCCAACTTAATGGTCTGGCGGAAAGAATGAATCAGACACCAATAGTGTAGGCAAGTTAGATGTTGAACCTGAAAAAATTCTATACAAGCATTTCTTAACAAAAATGTACGAGGAGTAACGTTCTAAACAACATACTAAAAGTCCCATGGATTATGTCTCTGGCAAGTTGAAAAAAACGGCAGCCATTTTGTTTTTTACATTTTATTGCAAATATCTCAAAAACTATCAGGTTTATGAGAAAAAGTGTGGGGATATTTTTTACTTAAAATGCAAATTTACATTAAATTTGTTGGGATATATCAGCAACATGTATTTAAATAATTACTGACTTTTTCCACAAAAGAATAGCTACGTACCTACTACGTTCAATTATAAGTAATATCATCTTCACCATTTTCATATACGATGCACGAATTCCAGCAAATCATTCCTGAGCATTAACTTATTTTGCAGAACATTTTAATCCAAGTTTTCTGCAGGAGCATGCCTTGTTGCATGTCCCTTCCTTGCAATTACAGAATACCATTTTTAGTATATCAGAGGGGGCAATTTCTTTTGTTACGGATGTAGGCGCAAGATGTTCATCTCTATCTTGTTCCCATCCATAGAATAACGGATCGAACATATATCCCATCCACTCTGGTATCCTAAAATTACATACTATATCTAATCCTCGAAATTAGCTTACGGGGCATACCTGAGTAAATGCAGTGTTCTACTTTTTCAAAGATTCCAATGAGTTACAATAACAGGCCCCAGGCCACTGGCGCCGAGTACATGGGGCAGATGCTCCTATAAGCAACCTCTCATGGGTGCTCGGAGCTCTTGTGGGTATCAACCTCTCTAAAACCAAAGTTTTATCTTACAGAGCTTCGCTCCAATCTGTAGTACTGGATAACAATACCATGGAGGCCGTTGATTCCGTGAAATTCCTGGGGCTTGTTGTTGATAATTCTCTAAAGTAGGACCTGCATATCGGCGCCTTAGCAAAGAAATTAAGTTCGGCCTGTTTTGCACTGAGATCTGTTTCCAGGGAGCTTAACTCGGCAACTTGCAGATGGTATATTATGCTCTTTTTGAGTCGCATTTACGTTACGCCCTTCCATTCTGGGGCACGTGTTGTGCGTCTCAATTTGAACGCATTTTTAGACTGCAGAAGAGAGCTCTTCGTTATTTTTTGGGACTTGGTAGTAGAGCTCACTGCCGGGAATTTTTTATCAAGTCTAGTATATTGACTCTTCCATCTTTATTTATTTTCGAATCCGTCTGCTTAATTCGTAAGCACTTAATATCAGCTATCTCAGAGAGGCCATCTCACAATTATCCACTGAGGAACGCAGAGTTGGATCTTTATCTGCCAATCCCGCGCTCAGAGTTAGTTAAAAGTTCAATACAATGCTAAAAAGATGCATAATCATCTACCGCCTAACATCAGGTCCATTGCATCTTTTCTCGAATTTCGCAGGGCGTTGAAGGTGTATTTACTGAGGAGAGCCGTGTACACAGTAAGCGAGTTGTTTATGGTTTCCTAATTCTAAATTTTGAGCAGCTTACTCACAGGTTTTGTTTTTGTTCCTGTATCATGATAGGTTATTATAAGTTATTGTTTGTTTGTTTTTTTAGTACCTATAATATGCTTACTCGCACAGTATAAGCAGTTAGACCTAGATGTTTGTTTATTAGTTTTAATCAAATTTTGACCATGAACTATTTGTTCAAGTGTTTGATTTTGTCTGTGCTTTTGCATTTGTATGTTTTGTTTTTTATTTTTTCAGCTTTGTCCAGCTTTCTTTCTTTCTTTCTTTCTTTCTTTCTTTCTTTCTTTCATGTAATTCAAATTTACACAACTTTGTATAAGAATTATACAAGTGGTATTAGTCTTAGATTAGGAAGGTATTAGTATTCTGTCCTTTTGTTATTTGTGGTCAGTTCTATTACGATTACGATCTGCGGGTTTAACGTGCTGTACAGTTGCTCTGTGTTAAAGGTGTTTTCAACGTGGAAGCTTGTGATAGAAAATTGTGAAAGTTTCACCAAAGGTGCAATTGGGTGCTATCTTCAATTAATTGGAAGAATAACTTAAAAATACCAATTAGTTTCTCAGAAACATTGATTTAAGCTGTGAACAATAGAAGACAATACCAAACAAAAAACATTTCTCTTTGTTATCACCAATACCATAAATCGACCCAAAGGTAAATAAAAAAAAAAGATTTATACTCGGATTTATATTTATATTTATACTTATCTTTTGCAAATCACTGCTCGATTGTTCAGATAAAAACATTTGGGTTGCTGATAATATTCAATACATATTTACATTGCCAATTTGCCATGGTCGCGTCAAATAAATGCTTTAAATGCTTCAATGAGTGTGTGTTTAAAAAGGATAAAGAAAAAAAGGATCTGTTTGGATTTCCATGCGACATGTGCTGCCGCACTATTTGTGCAGACTGTAATAAAATGATGGCACAAGAAATCAGGGTGATTCCCAGTACCTCTCGTTCATTGATTCATCTATGTCCTGACTGTATCATTGAATTTAAACAACTCCCAAGCATGCTGAAGAAAATACCAGCATTAGAACAGGCAGTAGTTGACCTTGAAAGTAAAGTAAAAAACCTAGAGCAGCAAAACCAACAACCTGATCTCGATAAGGAAATCAATGAGATAAAGGAAAAAATGTCCAATTATGAGAAGAATCAACAAAAATCTGAACAATCATGTAACCAAAACCTAAACTTGAACAACCAATCTCAGATTATTGATAACGAATCCTTATGTAAAACAATCAAAAATGAATTAAAAAGCCAATCAGAGCTTCTAGCAAGTCAACTGCAAACTGTGGTGAGCAATATCAGAGATGCTAACAAGGATTTAGTACGTTTTCTGACTGAAAAGTCTCCTGATGAAAATTGCAAAAGGAACACATTGGTGAATAATCAAATTAACCTCGATACTGTTAGAAATGCAACTGCAAATGCTACTGAAAAAATCATGGCTCATAACTCAAATCAAAAATCCTCGAAAAACCTGGCTAAACAGAAATTGGATAGTCGTGGAGAATGTGCTAGCAGCTCAAAACAGGGAATCAAGGGAGCAAAGAAAAATAGCAGTGGCTTGACTGCAGCTACCAAACAGTCATGGTTCTATGTGGGAAATTTGGGAGCAGGAACCTCTATGGAGCAATTGAAAGAACATCTTACGAGTCACAATATTCCTGTGTTAACAATTGATAAATTGCCCACTAAAAATCAACATGTTGCTTCTTTTAAAATTTCAGTTGATCCTAAATATGAGCCTGACCTGTTGGATGCTGAAATATGGCCGGAGGACACTACAGTGAAACCCTTTATTTTTAATAATAGAAACAAGCAGAACAGATGGCAACAAGGAAGACGTTTTTTCCAGAGACGGCCCATACCTCAAAACAAGTCATAGATGGGCATGGAATCAGTTGCTACTACCAGAATGTCAGAGGACTAAGAACTAAACTCAGTGCATTAATGTATTCGGTGATTGTGGAGGAGTATGACCTCATTTTACTTACAGAAACTTTTCTGGATGAAAAAAATAGATAGTTTGGAATTGGGTATGGCTAATTATCAAATATTTAGGTGTGATCGATCACATAATACTAGCTCACATTCGAGAGGAGGTGGTGTTTTAATTGCCGTTAAAGAAAACTTATCCGCTTTACAGTTAGATTCACCTGTAAAAAGTATTGAACATGTATTTGTTTCTATAATTTTAAAAGGATCCAAAAAATTAATAATTGGTTGTGCATATATACCCCCAGCATCTTCTCTCGAAGTATATGAAGCTCTTTCTGAATCTGCATCCTTTGTTTTGCAAGATTACATAAGTGATGATTGTGATATTATAATTTGTGGCGATTTTAATTTACCAGATACTTTCTGGTCGAATGATGATTATGGTGCAACTCCTCATGGGATTGTAACACAGCAGGTGGTGTGTTTGTCTCACATTATGGCATTTTTTAATTTAAAACAAATAAATGCTATTGCCAATGCAAGGGGTCGACTTCTGGATCTAATTTTTAGTAGTGAGGTAACCAATGTTTCGGCTGTTGACCAACCGTTGCTTGGTTGTGATTCGCATCATCCAGCATTGCAGTTCCTTGTTAGGTTGAATCCTCCAAGTGAAGTCATGCAATATGATTTTGAATATTTTAATTTCAGGCTAGCAAATTTCATTGATATAAATATGTACTTATCACATGTAGACTGGAATTTTATATATAATAATGATGATATTAATGTAGTAGTCGAATTGTTCTATAATGTACTAAATGTGGCAATTGAATTGTTTGTTCCAAGACGTAGGGCTAAAAACCTAAAATTTCCCACTTGGTTTAGTGATGATTTAAAAAAACATGTTTTGATGAAGAAGGTTGCGCATAAATCTTACAAACAGTCCAACTCATTAGTCGACTATCAGAATTTCTCAAACCTTAGGCAAAAATGCAAAGAACTAGTAAAAGATAGCCATATTAATTATATAAATGAACTCGAGAATAATATTCAATCCAAAAGGGACTTTTGGAGATATGTAAATTCCAAAAAGGATAGTACTGAACTGCCTAAATATATGTTTTATGGTGAGGAGAAATCGGACTGCCCTCAAAAAATTGCTAATTTATTTGCGCAACATTTCTCGTTGGCATATGTAAATCATAGAGAGAAATACATTGATTTCCAGTATTCTAAGACTGTAGATTTGTTTTTTTTGTAATATAAGTTTGATGGATGTATTTAATTGTATAGGTAATTTGGATGATGGTTTGGGATGCGGGCCAGATAGCATTCCAGTTTACTTTCTAAACAATTCTGAATGTGTTTTGTCTGAAGTTCTTGTCAGAATATTTAATAAGTCATTGTCAAAGGGTATTTTTCCTGAAAAATGGAAGGAAAGTTTTCTTACGCCTATTTTTAAAGCTGGCAATAAAGCAGACATATCAAACTATCGCCCAATAAGTAAATTGTCGGTTATTCCAAAGGTTTTTGAGTGTATTGTGACTGAAAAAATCTCCCCATGCTTTAGAAATGTTCTCTCGACTGCTCAACATGGATTCATTAAAGGAAAATCAACTATTTCTAACCTCTTATTATATCAAGATAATCTTGTTAATGCTGTAGAATTGGGAACTCAAGTAGATTCCATCAGCACTGACTTCAGTAAGGCTTTTGATAAGGTTAATATATCTATACTTACAAAAAAATTAGAGGCCTTGGGCATTCGGGGGACTTTTTTGGCATGGATAAATAGCTTTCTGGGCGGTTGAGTACAATATGTCAGAATTAAAAATTTTATTTCATTTCCAATAAATGTCGTATCTGGTGTTCCTCAAGGAGGACATCTTTCTCCCTTGCTATTTAATTGCTATATTAATGATGTTGAAGATTTTATCCATCACAGTGACATATTGTTGTATGCAGACGATTTGAAGTTGTATAGGCCTGTTAAGTGCATATCAGACTGTAAGCAGTTACAACTAGACCTGAATTGTTTTGCTCTGTGGTGTCACCTGAATGACCTAATCCTTAATTTAAATAAATGTAAAACCATAACCTTTTCTAAATCTCATGCATCAATTTTTTATGAATACAAATTAAATGATCAAGTAGTTGAAAGAGTGGACTCTATTAAGGATTTGGGAGTTACATTTAGACAGGACCTAACATTTAACTTACATATTGAGAATATTTGTAGTAGGGCAATGAAACTTTTGGGATTTGTATTTCGCACCCTCAAAGATTTTAATAATATTTTTACTATAAGGAGCATTTACTGTTCTGTAGTGAGATCCCTTTTGGAATATGCTACCCCAATTTGGTCACCACATTATGGGGTCCATATAAATTGTGTTGAGAGAGTTCAGAAACGGTTTCTAAGGTATATTGCCTATAAGATGCATATACCATCAGAAGAGGTCTGCTACAATGACCTGTTGCGGTTGCTGGGTCTTTCTAGTTTAGAGGCACGTAGAAGGAATTATGATATTTGTTTACTTTTCAAGTTGCTTAATAACTTAATTGACTGTCCCCCTTTGTTGAACAGCATTTCCCTGCGTGCCCCTGTGAGACAGACTAGGCAAGTGCATCTTTTTCATAGCGAGTATCATAGGACTAATTATGGTTTTTTCTGCCCTATGGCTAGAATATGCAGAGAAGCTAATCAGCTACCCAACAATTTTGATTTTTTTGGCATGTCTCTGAAAACTTGTAAACATTTGTTAAATAGTCTGCAGCGCTAAATGTCAGTGTATTTATATGTACCGTAAATGTTAAATTTTAAGTTCTTGTGTTTTTCGTTAATATTATAACGTCATATATTTTTGTATTATGTTATTTACTGTAAATGGCTTGTCCGTTAATAAAGTTTATTATTTCCTCGAACATTCGGTCACGGTGAGCGGAAAGTCGCCAAGGATAGCGATTTCTGCCCGGAGTAGTTTGCTAGAAATAGAAAATAGTTTCCTCGAGTCTGCGAAATGTGTGCGGTATGGGTATTTTGATATTAAAAATGTCTCTGAGCACTGTAGTTCAGCTGAGCGATTTCGCTGTAATCAAACTCGATAGATATAAACCGACCAGTCGCCATAGGTCTGCGGAGCGAAGCGGATTCGAGGAAACCAGACAGAAATGCTCTGGCTGGATAAAATCGCCAAATCGCGACGGTCGATGGACTGTCCGCTCTCCGCGACTGAATGTTCGAGGAAACCAGGCCAAAAAATCATTGTTGAAAATTCTAAGTGTGCCCCCCCCCTGAAGAAAATCTTGGATCCGCCTGTGTGCTATTACTAAAAAAAAACCCCATATGTTGCACAGTTAAATAACCACACTGTATATATCCTGTAAAATCCATTGTCATGAACCAAAATTGATTGTCAGAAATTTGATTTTTGCGTACTTTAAACTTTCAATTTTTTTCAAACGCAGTGCTCTATATTTAATTCTTTATTCTTGAAGAGCATGATTTTCCAATTACAAAAATATATAGTTTCTCTATATTTGGTTGGGCCGTCTCAAACATATTTGCCTCTAAAAATTGTAAAAATACTATCCTACTTTCTCAGATTTTCTGAACCATTCTACAATCGACTCTATAGTCCGTTGCATGGTTCTTGACCTACGGCTACTGAATAGACAGAGGGGACAATGGGCTATTGTTGCGTTATCAGTTGTCATATCGAAAATATTTGTTAATATGTACATGAAAATTGCAATAAAATTTCCTTCATTTTCATGTAATAATAAATATTATTATTGATATGACAACGCAGCAATAGCCCATTGTTCTGTCTGTCTATTCAGTAGTCGTAGCTCAAGAACCATGCAACGGACTATACCTGTCAAGGTGAGAGCTGGAGGTAAAATCAAATACAGAGTAGCAAAAAAGTCGGGCATATTACCTGTAACTTTTTAATTACCTCGTATACGAGGTAGTGACCTTGATGAAAGTTGTACAGTAAATTATTTCCCACATTTCTACCAAGACAAATTGTTGTTTCTGTCAAAATTCTGAGCAGAATTTATGTGATATACCTACCCCCTACCCTATACCTAAGTTCAACTATTTTGGAAATATTGACAGTTGAATGTTAACTTTTTTGCAACTTTGATAGCGTGTAAAACCTAAATGATTATTATAAGAGGAAAACCGATTTCACATTCCGATCTTACTGTTGATTCAACTGTTTTGGAAATATTGACCATTGAAAATTGACTTTTTGCAACTTTGACAGACTGTAAAACATAAACGGCTTATTTTAGAGGAAAACCAATTTCATCATCCAATCTTAGATTTTCAGAAACTATCATTTGACACCAACTTTGAATTTAATCCATGATTAAAAATTCTAATTAAATTTAAGGTCCGATTAAATTCAAAGTTGGTGTCAAATGATAGTTTATGAAAATCTAAGATTGGATGATGAAATTGGTTTTCCTCTAAAATTTACCGTTGCAAAAAGTCAATTTTTAATTGTCAATATTTCCAAAACAGTTGAATCAACGGTATAGGCTTGGGTATAGGGCAGGTATATCACATGAAATCTGCTCAGAATTTCATGTGGAATGCAAATATGCAATCACATACAGGGTGTTCGATTTGAAAACACAGAGTTGGTCTAGATAGAAAACAAACCAAAAGTGACACAGGCAATACGTCTAGGTAGAATTGTGGGAAATAATTTACTGAACAACTTTCATTGACATCACTTTTTCGTATACGAGGTAATTGAAAAGTTACAGATATTATGCCTGACTTTTTTGCCACTGTATAGACAAAACTATAAATTTTTGGAATCAGAGAATTGTGCTCTTCAAGAATATAGAATCGAAAATAAGTAGAAAGTACGCAAAATTACAAATATCTGTCAAATTATAACTCCCTGTACCTAACGCCTCTATTCCGATAAAAAAATTACTTACCTGTGATTATCGATTTATCAAGCCTCTCGCTTCCAAAATACTCATAATATTTTTTAGGTGTTTGATTTATTTGGTCTGATTTGAAAAGACCCTCCAATACAGTGTTATTCTGGTCATAGTCTGTTTCTGAAAATTTAAAAGTTGGTTCAAAATTTCCAACAGCAGTTTGATTAAAATTCTCACCTGATAAATTTTCTTTTTGATCAATGGTAATATTTACACAAACTTCCATAGAAAGTTCTCCCTTTTCTGAAATAGTGGCTTGAGGAGTCTGTTTCTCGATGGTTTCTAAATTCATCTCTGTTGGCTTTTTGGGACATCCTGGGATGTTCTGATTTCCTGTTTGAAAAGCTGTTATTGGAAATGCTTCAAAGAATTTATCTAATAAAGGAGTATTGCTATTTGTTAAGGTATTTGCTTTGATATTGTGAGCAATTTTTTTGGGTGTCGAAACTTCCCTCATTCGTTTAAGCTTTTTTCTAGCTTTTCGACGCCTTTTGGTTGCTTCATCTTCATCTGGTAATATTCTCAATTTTACTTTGCTTTTATTGTCCCGAAAAAGAAGATTTATTCTATAAAAGTATTCGTCGTCCATAATCCTAAAACAAACTTGTAGTTAAGTAGGATGTTAGGCGTTAGCAATCATAGTCAAGGGAAATGCTTGATTTCCCACACAATTTCGCAACAGAATTAAAATCAATTAATTATAACAACTCTAACTAGTTTTTAAGTCCAGTGGACACCAAAATATGATAAATATTCCCAAATTAATTAAGTTTATTATGGGATACTTACTTTTTATTCTGTGAAACTGTGAAGTTTAAGTACGATTTCAGGTTAGGTTTCAGTCCAGTCCAGGATCCAGCATCTTTGAGTCAGAATTTCTGGGCACTAGATTCACTAACTCCAGACATTTTATTGGTTTATTTGTTTTGTTTAGCTGCAGCTAGTTATATGAATAAAAAATATATAGGCATAATCAAATAGATTTGATGATTTGATTCGGGAACTAGGCACTGTGATTAGGCGATCCAATTCATCTGTCAAACAGAAATTCAATATGGCGTGGCAGCTAAGCAAGTTTGTTTTGAATAATATGTATTTTTTTTTTTACTACTAACCTGAGAAATTGTCATTATTCAATCTATTTTTCTAGGAAAAAATTGAATTTCTCTCCCTAGATGAATAATGAAAATAATGAAAAAATACCTAGGTTAATAATGAAAATGACGTCATGACGCAAGGATATTGTCATGTTTCTATTGGTTCAATTTTATTTCCATACGTCAATTTGAAAAAAAATACAGGTTTCTGTAGGTACATAGGAAGTTATCATAAGCTGTTGATAGAGGGCAGCACTTTCAAGAGGGCGTTCAAAAAAAATAATTGGAGCACAGATTTTAAACAAATTTTTCATTTTCTACTAGCAGTAGTAAAAAAAATTCTATATATTCCTCGGTAGAGAAAGTCATTATATACCTCACTCATTATAAGCGCTCGGTATATAAGGACCAACTTCTCTACCTAGGTATATAATATACTATTACGCGTATTTTTTTTTTGTTTTTTACTACTAACCTGAGAAGTAGTCATTATTCAATCTATTTTTCTGGGAAAAAGTTGAATTTCACTCCCTAGGTTAATAATGAAAATAATGAAAAAATACCTAGGTCAATAATGAAAATGACGTCATGACGCAAGGATATTGTCATAACTTAACAGGTTTCTATTGGTTTATTTTCAATTTCAAACTGTCAATGTAAAAAAAAGCAGGTTCCTGTATGTACCATCGTCACCAAAAGTAACTGGGACAGCATCACATTAGCTCTTGTCCTATTATATGAATTTTATTGTCAAATATTTGTCAAACTATGAATTAAATGCATTGAAATGAATGACACTAGAATTAGTCCAGGAGATTATTATACATTATTTGTGTCCCAGATACTTTTGGTGACGATGGTACATTATAGGAAGTTACCCTAAGCCGTTTATAGAGGGCAGCATTTCCGACAAGAAAAAATAATATGACCACAGATTTGAAACCTATTTTTTATTTTCTACTGGCAGTAGTAAAAAAAATTCTATATATTCCTCGGTAGAGAAAGTCATTATATACCTTACGCATTATAAACCTCAGCGCTTCGCGCCTCGGTTTATAAAAGCGCTCGGTATATAATGAGCAACTTCTCTACCTAGGTATATAATGTACTATTGCTTCAAGTTTGACTTTGATTATTTAATATAATATTTACTGACTAGGTACCTACAGTTGCGATCAAAAAAAAGCAGTACAAAAATTATTAACCCCGATTTGAGCTCCCGGTGTAACATACAAAATTTTGACAGTAAATAAAGATTTCAAAGTATTTTGAGTTCAGGCAATGACATATTTTAGGTTGAAAGCGGGTGAAAATGTCAAAGTAATGTCATCTGCAAAGACGCTTTCTAGGTTAAAAACTTGTCGAAAAATGCCAAAAATCATTTTTGGTTATGAATTGAATGAATGTATAATAGACCAGGAGATTTTGGAGATTTTTCTTGTACTACTTTTTTTTATCGCAACTTTACGTAAACTATTAATAGGGGCAGAAACTAGATATTTTTTTGTGTGTTTTTTGGCCCATGTCTGGCTGCCTCACCATTTTGAAAATCACAAGGTTTGGATATCCTAATGGAATGGTTAAAGTTGAAAATCAGTGGTGGTAGGAGGGGACGCACGGCTCAAGGATAATACACACTACTGAGGATTGCTTATCGGCCAAGTTTTTGGTAATCGCCGCCATATTGGTGTGTGTATCACTTGTATCACCATTGTCGACGTCATCAACTATGTCGTCAGTTGCTTCTGCCAGCGGTCGTAATTTATAATTTAAATTTATGATGAAAAATATTATTTAATTTTGATTAACATATTGGGCTAATAGGAAGATGTAAACGAGATCTAAAAAATAGTTGTTGAATGTTAATTTTTGTAGTAAAACGAAATATGCATAAAACAAAAGCCCGCAAAATCATAGCTGTGGTGCAAACAACTCGCGTTAAGGCGAGAAATGACATGCTGCTACGTCACAACTGGTGATTTGGCGTGTGCCTGGTTTCAGATTTGTTCTACACAGGCCTTATGAGGATAGGCTATTCTGTAATAATAGTGTTTATCATCCCTGAGACCAAGGATGATACACACCTACAGGGTCCTTATTCTTGAATCAGGGGAGCAGCGTTCCCAGGAGAACGAGTGTTCCGTCTTTTTCAGTGATATGTGAATAAGTAACAGAGACGGAACGCTGGTTCTCTTGGGAACGCTGCTCCCCTGTTTCAAGAATAAGGACCCAGGACTGCTTATCGTCCTCGTCCTCGTTTTTGATAATTGCGGTCATATTGATATTTCACCATTTCCGACGTCATTACTAAGGCGTCAGCTGTTTAAACAGCCTACGATAAGGCGAGAAATAACATGCTGTCTACGTCACAACTGGTGATTTGGGGGGAGGGATATGTTCCACACCGGCCTTATAAGGATAGGCCATCCTGTAGTAGTAGTGTGTATCATCCTTTGCCTTGGGACAGCTCGGCTCGAGAAAAGAACGAGAGTCCTCTTTTTCTTCTGTCAAAAACGTCAGTTGTCTTTGGGAATTAAATACATGGCAACTTGCAAGGATATTCCACACTACCACAGGACTGATCATCGGCCTCGATATTTGCCGAGCGTTCGTTACTTTGGTCCGATTTCTCCGAGCTTGACTTTACCGTTAGTTTATTTAAAAAGTGTACTCGGTGCAGCCTCATTCGCGTTCGTTTATTAAAATTTCCGGCACTTTTATACAGCGTTCAACTGCTCCGTTCGCTCGCTGGTCACGTGACTACGGTGGAATCAAGGTCTTATGGTGTTGAACCGATGCCGACGTCACCAATGGTGTCGTCAGCTCTTTGCGTCAGCAGTCGTAGTTCAGATGTAAAGGGTGATTCAACTTGAGTTTCCACATTACAGTCTAAAATATTTTTGAAACGCACTTGTATTTGTCAGCGGCAATGTTAGACTTCTTACCTAGAAACATCAACAAAATTACCAATGAAGCAATATTGTCTGGCTAGCCAAACGGCGAACTGCAAAACAATTTGCTGCTTTGCCAAACTTGACGGAAACAGTACCTAAGCAAGTTGGTGACATATTTTTTTTTTGCTATATGAGCATGTGTAGTATTTTGAAATAGAAAACAATCCGGCAACATTGCGAAACGTGGTTATTGGCGAAACCTAAAAAAAATTCTAATAATTTTATTGGTTCATTTCCTTGGTGTATTCGGTGCCACTGAACCCAAAGACATGGCTGTCATCAAGCGGTGTCAGTTGAGGTGTCAGTGAATATTCTTAGGTTACGCCCCACTTTTCTTCCCCCTTTCTCTATCAACTCACCACTTGCCAGACTAGACACCACGGAACAACGCGTTAAAATCATCCAAGCCTAGCCTTTCATGAAAATGGGCGATCGAGGAAATAGCTAAAATTTACTTAACAAGTGTGTTAGGTACAATATTTTTCCTACAGGCGAAAAAATGTAAAATTTTTCTTTTTTTTGACATATCAGTGCGGTAAAATTTTGTTCGCACTGACAGCCGTGCGGAAAAACTTTTTCCGCACTGATATGTCAAAAAAAAAAGTTTTACCGCACGGTGCGGGAAAACTCATTTTCCGCACGCATATCAGTGCGGAAAATCGATTTTTCCGCACGGCTGTAGGAAAAATAAGTTACGCCTACGTCAAGGCGAGAAATAACATGCTGCCGACGTCACAACTGGTGATTTGGGGTGGGGGAAGAAGAGGATTTGTTACACACAGGCCTTATGCGGAGAGGATAGGCCATCCTGTAGTAGTAGTGTGTATCATTCTTGGGGAAAATCGACCCATGGAGGGGAAAATTTGAAATGGGTTCCAAAAATTTGATCAAACTGGATCCGTAGCTAACATTACCTCGCTGTCTTTTTAACAGAGCCAAACGGAACGGAGAATGGCAGGGCTACACCGAAAGGCTGACTGAGTACAACAGAAAATTAAGGAAGGCCAAACGGAAAAACTTCCAGAACTTCTGTGAATCTATCACAGAAACACCATCAGCAGGCAGACTATACAAAACCCTGGCAAAAGGCAGGGCGCAAAGACCATTGACACTTAAGAAACCAGACGGCAGTTATGCAGAAAATGAAGAGCAACGAGCTGCTCTACTACTGGAAACCCACATAGAGAACATAACAAACAAAGCAATTTCGGCACTCATGGTATGTAAAAACATTGCGGGCAAAACGTGGGGTTGTAACCCATCGATCCTACGATGGATGTATACCATGATAGTGAGACCTATCATCACCTACGGAGCGGTAGCCTGGTACAGCCGAACCCAGCTAGTAACGGCTAGGAAAACCCTAGGAAAGGTACAAAGACTCGCATGTCTATGCATAACAGAAGCAATAATTCTTTTCACGTGGCTCCGGTTTAACTAATCGGGTTACAAAACGGTTAGAGAAATGACATACCGTTTTCTAACCCGGTTACAAAGTGACGTGATGGATACCTACCACTCGAATTTCAGCGGTATGTTGCGGTTTGTTAAACCGGAGCCACGTGAAAAGGGTTAATGAGAACATGCCCAACCGCGGCAATGGAAGTTATCCTAGACCTAACACCACTTCACACAATAGTGAAACAGGTTGACAGTGAATCATATCTATAAGACTGGCGAAGATAAGTCTACAAGGGAAAACGCACTTTGGCAGAGCTTTCCCTCTCCCAAACTGTGCACACCTCATGGACTTACCAAAAGACGCGATTGTTGATAAATTCAGTTTCGAGAAAAACTTTTCCATCGAACTAAGTACAAAGAACAGATGGAACATAGAATAAAGCTGTATTCTTTTCACACCTAGGAGGAGCTCCGCAACAGCTCCGGGGCTTCACGCGCTTATTCCTTTCGAAAAATGTTTGTTGCACCACGCATCTGTTCCCTGCAAATCGGGGGCGACTAAACACCGGAGCGAGTAGCTCCAGTGTTTCAAGCTCTTGAAAGGAATACAACTAATGTATCCAGTCCCTTAAAGCAAACACCATCAAATGGTTCACAGACGGCTCTAAAACTGATGAGGGGACAGGAGCCGGAGTATTCGGGCAACGAACCAGATAGTCGGTGCCAATGGGCAAATCACCAAGCATATTCCAAGCCGAACTTCATTAATTCAAATTCGTAATAAAAATTAAAATATTTTGTATTTATTTATGTATCTCCTCATCATCAACCAAACAATAAACGAAATATTTTTATTTCAGATCAATTATATTTTTGTTTTCCTTTTCTTCAATAGTGAACAGTCAACCAACAATAACATGCAAGGATATCGAAATCGAAAGCGCAAAACCTAAAATTTTTGCGCAGAAACCGAAATTCGTATACAGAGTGGTTCCGAAACCGTTCTGGGACGGTTTTTTGACGGGTTGGAACAAACCTATCAATACCGTTTTCTATTTGCAGAACCAGCGTGAATTTTTTAAATTTTATTTCTATATTTTCAATTCACGAATGTACTAAATTGGAAAAAGGAAATCAAATCACTATTTGTAAAACATACAAAATATCGAATCAAAAATATCGATAACTGTCGATATCTAGTATCGTAATAATTCCATCGATGTAAAAATATCGATGTATCGAATACTTTATATCGATCTTTGAAAAACATCGATATTTTTTGGGCATCCCTACCAAGAAAGATACACAATTGCACAATAATTTGAAATGCACCTGACGACAAAAAATATCAATCAACAATCTACGACTTCCGAATAGAAAAGTGACATGGAACTCCGAATGCATAAAAAAGAGATAAAAAAGCAACGATGGCAGTTTCCAACCTTGCAATCAAAGGTTGCGGCTAGCCGCTCCGCGACCCGATGGTGCCTGAACGCCAGGAATGAGAATGAGTTGCTGAGATTCGCGGTCCATTTGAATGCTAGCAGGGAAGCATATGAGAGTCAAGCCTTCGGTCGACTTCTAATGATAAAATTGCGGGCAAGGAACAGATTTTTGTCGAGTCGCCTGCGCGCATACGTGCCATTTCCGAGAAAAGTCGTAGAGGAAAAGTTGTAGGACTTGATGTAAGCAAGCCACTCACAAAGTATGGGGTTTACATGTATAACTGAAAAAAAAGGTCCTTGGATGGTTGACTAGATAATTAGTGCGGCGAGATCAATTGTTAGTTAAGTCCTTGTTACAGTGACTCTATTACCCACAGTGGCGACAATTGCTGTCTTATTTTTGATTGGTTCTAAAATCCCATATATTTGTATTGAAAACGCTGCCATCTTGTTCCCACCTATTGCTTATTTCAATATGAATATATGGGATTTGGGTGAACATCCATCATAAAACATGGAAAACAACGTATTTGATGGACCTAATAATAGTCATCAAATACGTCGATTTCAATTTTTTATGATAGATCTCCATTTAAATCCTATATATTAATATTTAAAAGTAATAAGAGGTTGGGAACAAAATGGCGGCGGAATCCCTATTGTCGCCACTGTATGTAAAGGTTTATTTAGCCACTGTAGTCCTTGTTAGCTAAAATGTGTTTTTTTTTTTAAAGATAAAAGTCAAATTGACATTATGTTGGCAATACAATCTAAAATTGTCAATGCTTTCAAATTTTTTGTGTAGAAAAGGCTTGTGTTGCCAACATAGTTACTAAATTTTTGACTTGAGGAAATCTTTTAAAAAAAAATAGACTTTACCAAAAACCTCAGATTGTGTCAATGTCAATATGATATTGGCCGCGTGGCCGCGTTCACAGATACAAGGTCTGTTCCCACAGAAGTCTCCGACAGTTTGCAACCTGTCAGAAACAATCGCTCAGCTGAGTTACAGATTGATCTTGGAACGACAGCATTGAAAACATGTATGGGCGATTTTTACTGACAGTTTGCAAACTGTCAGAGACTCCTGTGGGAACAGACCCACAAACGTTGGTAAACGCTTTAATCCTTTTCACATGGCTCCGGTTTAACAAACCGCAACATACCGCTCAAATTCGAGTGGTATCGATCACTTCACTTTGTAACCGGGTTAGAAAACGGTATGTCATATTTGACATACCGCTACTAACCATTTCGTAACCCGGTAAGTTTAAACCGGACCACGTGAAAAGGACTTTTGCGATTGTTCTGCTGAACACTACGTTGAATTTGTGTTGAAACCAAACATGTTTTTTAAACGAAAACGGTCGCCATTTTTGCAAACATAATTTAAGGCTAAGGCTTTGCACTCCACGGAGCAGAACGGTATGACCATGGATATCGTGACATCATACGCGGTCATAAGCCCAACGCAAAACAGAACACTGAACGAGAGCTAAAACGAACAGGATCTTATCGAGCGCGCTCAGAGTATACAGAGTGTAAAGCCGAAATTAGCCTAAGAGTGTTTATAATTTTCAACAATTTCTCGCGTATTGCTAAATTCACCAAAATGGTGCACCGCCACGGATGCGGTTAATAAAATATACTAATGCAAAGGCCAAACCACAGCTTAACAAGCCCTTTTTAATTTAACAGCACTGCTTATTCTACCATTCCACCACGGTGCCTACACCAACTGATCAGGGAACTTGCACATTTTTTTTTAATTTCAAGAATGTATTCTTCTACACTTAAGACTTGAGGTGTTTTTTCTCGCTTAAATTGGATAAACCAGGTTAAACGTTAAACCTAATTCAAAACATTACATTTTCGCGTTGAACTAATGACATCATAACAAAACTGTTTGAAAATATTTTGAAACGAGAATTCGCCTCGCTTCAAAGACAAACGCATTCGCGATAGTTTAGGAAAGTTGACAGTTTGTTTTTTATTCTCGAACTGCAGAAGCGCGTTTAGAAATGGAGTGTGAAGGTAGGGTAGTTGTTGGTCAGAGTGTTCTGATGTCATCACTTGGAGTGCACTCTGGGTGCGTTATTTCTGAACGTATTGGGGCGTTGCGGTAAATGTCAGTCATGTACAATCACGTTGAAGCCAGTAAAATTCGCGGGGCGTTTTTCAACCCAGTCCCTGAGTGGGGTAATTTGGACGCACTCTGAGCACTTCAACACTCGATTTCTGAACGATTCCGGCGTTATGCTCCGAGTAAGCACCTGTTAATTTATGAACGGCTACTCTAGGGTCGCTCTCACACCAAGAGTGCTATTTCTTAACGCAACCCTGGGGTCGAGAAAAAACACTTTTGGCTAAGAAAGAGTGCACAGTAGTGCACACTGGGTCACTGGGAAGCAGACCGGAAATTTTCGAACTAGTGTGAAAGTCAACCAGAGTTTATACTAATTAATTTTCGAACGCCTCTGGAGTGCACTCGGTGTGACGCCCAGACTGATTTCGAACACACTCTATAAGTCAAAAATTTAATTTATGACAACACAAAACGAAAACACATTCGTCACATTCACAAGTGGCTTTATTATTATTATTATTTTGTTTTTGAAACTCCAAAAATATAATTTATAATAAGCACAATGAGCGACATTCCATCTACACATGAATTGTACGTAAAAGAAGTATGTAGAGTTTGTTTAAATGATAATACGAACGATTTGCTCAATTTGTTTGAGACCCATGCCCCGGAAATGCTACAGTTTTGTGGGTTTTTAGAGGTGAGACATTTGCTCTATTTAAATAATTAATAATAATAAGCATTTCTACAATTTCTCCATAAGTCTGGTAAGTTTCCCAACTCTACATTGAGTATTTACAACTTCTATATTAATTTCTACAATAATATAGAAGAGATCTTTTACTTGCTCTCTTGCTTATTTAATAGCTTTTAAAGTTTCCACTCTATAAGGTTGTAGTCTGCTCAGAGTTGAGCTGATTACTTCTAAGCTAAGTAGGTATTCAGCAAATGCACCAAGGTATTAAGTACCTACTTTACTCTGCTCAGAGTTGAGCTAGGTACCCCTATGCTAAGTACCTACTCAGCAAATACACTTGAAGTATTAAATACTTCACTTTACTTTAGTAATAAATTTATGTAACATTAAACTCATTTTTTCTACATCTAGGTATTTCCATTTGAAATTACTCTCGCTGCTTTATTCTGCAAAACCTTTAATTTATCAAATACGCCTTGATTCACAGAATCAAGAACATTACAAATAGGATTTTCATACTTTTCTGGAGGAATTTCAGTTTTACTTTAACTTTTACTTTAACTTTTTGAACAGCTCTAGCTTAACTCAACTTTAACTCCAAAATGAATGGTCTTTTGTTCAAATTCATCTTTGAAGGGAGCCAGGATTGGGATTTACAGATCTTTGTTGTTAAATTTTAGAGTTTTCAGTCTTGAAGTTGGCTTTCCAAGAGCTAGATGCCTCTCCAATTGGATTACCTTCAGCTTCAACTCTAAAATAGTCAGAAGTTCTAATTTAAATTCTAAAAACGTTGCAAATTGTATTTTCATACTTTTTCAATAGAATTAAGAGTTGCTCTAATTTAATTTTAACTCTAAAATGGTCGCAAATTAGATATAAATACTTCTCTTTAGTTGAATTTTGGCTTTAGGAGTCCTAAGAATAGAACGAGGAATAGAATTTTCATGTGGAAAGTCCAGATTTAGGAGAGCTAAGAATGAGATTTTCATAGGTGCAACTAGCGGGGTGCTAATGGCTATTTGCATGGCTATCACTTAAGGGATATTTAAACCACAGCATACTAAGTGAAACTTTGAATGTGACTTTTGTTTCTACAAGGGTCACATTCAAAGCTCTACTTGGATTAAATATCCCTTAAGTTACAGCGGTGCAAATGGCCGTAAGCACCCCTAAAGCAAAAATTAGCACTCCCATTCGGCATCCCACCATAGCACTACCTACAGTGGCACTACCTAACACTAATATAAAAAATTAGTGCAACCAAATTATTTTTTTTTTTTGCACTTTTTGTACGTAATAATTTAGAAAAAAGTATTTGTCGTTAATTCATAGAGCACTTTCGCAATTATTATTGTTATGGAATAAAATTTTGAACCGGGGCCGGTATTACAATATTACCTTAAAATCAAGATTTACCCCAAAATATAGGGCTTTTATGTTATATTTAGGATGACGTCATCGAACAAGGTCAGACAGTGTTGGCAATGTCTATGTTTATTCTACAGTGTGTCCCGCTTAAGGACTGACCACCCTTCTAAAATTTTTATTTTTCAACCGATTCAATTCATTTTTTTTTGTCTTGTAGCTACTCGAATTTGGCACTTATTATAGGCTCATAATTTTATTTCTACGGCTGCACTGGTTTACAGGGTGTCCACATTTATAGGCTCAAATTTCAATAAGTACTATTAGGGATTTTTTAGAAAAAATCTGATAGCAGATTCTTGTTGAGAATGGTCTAAAACCCTAATGTACGAATTTTCGTTCCATTAGGATACAGGGTGATCACAACAAATTTTCAAAATTTAATGAACCAAACCGGAAAAATTTTATATTTTGAGGCCTTGAGAACAACAAAACTTGATACAACATAGTTTTAGAACATCCTTAACCAAAACTTGTAGTAAGCTTGTCTCAAAATATAAAATTTTTACGGTTTGATCCATTAAATTTTAAAAATTTGTTGTGATCACCCTGTATCCTATTGGAACAAAAATTCGTACATTAGGGTTTTAGACCATTCTAAACAAGAATCTGCTATCAGATTTTTTCTAAAAAAATCCCTAATAGTACTTATTGAAATTTGAGCCTATAAATGTGGACACCCTGTAAACCAGTGCAGCCGTAGAAATAAAATTATGAGCCAAATAAGTGCCAAATTCGAGTAGCTACAAGACAAAAAAAAATGAATTGAATCGGTTGAAAAATAAAAATTTTAGAAGGGTGGTCAGTCCTTAAGCGGGACACACTGTATATCTTAAGGTGACATTGAAATACCGGCCCTTAAAAAATCATTGGAGTCCCAAATATATAAATTAACTATAACTGCGTATTATACAGGGTGTTCCTAAATATCATGTACCATCGTCACCAAAAGTAACTGGGACAGCATCACATTAGCTCTTGTCCTATTATATAAATTTTATTGTCAAATATTTGTCAAACTATGAATTAAATGCATTGAAATGAATGACAGTAAAATTAGTCCAGGAGATTATTATGCATTATTTGTGTCCCAGATACTTTTGGTGACGATGGTACAAACGGCAAAGGGTGTTTTTTTTTTATGACTGAAATCTCAAATATGTTCTAAAAAATTGACTTATTTAAGCAAAATTAAGGAAAATTCATCCTCTTACATTTTAATTTTTTTCTGGAAAACTTGCAAAGGGAAAATTGTGAATTTTTTCCAGAAGAAATAGAAAAGTGAAGTACGAGGGGTGAATAGCTGGCCCAAAATATGTACACCGACTGCCAAATTCTAGAATCTTTAAGGAAATTTGCTAAGATTGTGTACAATTGTGAGTGATTGTGTACGATTGTGAATGATGGTGACTGATTGTGTAAGGATTGTGAATAATTGTGAGCAATTATGATTATTTGTGTCACAATTGTGGGTGATTGTGACTGATTGTGTAAGGATTGTGAATGATTGTGTAAAGACTATGTATATTAATTGGGTTAGAACAAAACAACAAAATATCAAAACTACATTTTCTCTCTAATTTTAACAAATTAAAAAATATCACCATAATCAATAGGTCTATTTTCACAGAAATCACAAACCAGTCAAAGCAAATTTCATTAGTTGAAAATAGTCGGGAAACTGGTTGTTGGCGATTTGGACCAATCAAAAATGCTCTGACTGGTTTGTGATTTCTGTGGAAACAGACCTAATGTGTTAAGAATATTTAGTATTTTTATCTTTCTTTTACACATTACTCGAATTGAGAAGTTGTACAGGGTGTCCTATTTTGGTTGTCGGTACATAGAGGATATCTCTGTTGCTATTATTAAAGTTAGAAGGATGCGGCTTTCGCGAACGTTGGCTACTTTCTTGTCAAACGAAAGTTGCCGTCAACAAAATTGTCATCGCCTTTTGGAATCGAAATTTTTTAAATATATACCGGGTGTTTGAATTTGAAAAAATCATCTTACGTAGTGACAGATAAAAGTTTTAATTAATGATACAGGAAGATGATGACGAATAAAAAAAAATTGTTGTGAGATAGATACATAAGTACTTGGTTTCAAATTAGGATTTTATTTCCTTGGAAATGTTGTTAATTTTTTGTGACTCAAACGTTGATAGTGTAAATGGATAGTTTTTAAAATGGATTGGACATTGGACCATATATAATATATATTTTTTCTACAAGGTCCAGGTCTAGATTTTTAGGCCATCTAAAGACTTTTAGAAAAGTTATCTGACATTCTATACTTTTGTCAATTTTCCAGTGTGGTATTTGGTAGAGTAGGCAACTGCATATTACCAATCTACTTCAAGTTCTTCAAGCTGAAATATTCCTCTCCACCCTCTAAATCATGAAGGCTAGTAACAATAATTCTGAAGGTGCTCTATGAATTAATCTATGACATAACTTTTTCTCTAAGTTATGACGTCATCGATGACGTAAGTAAAAACCTTCGTGCCGTGCAACGAACTATATGTTTGTTTGAAATTTCAGACATAAAAAAACCTATTTTTCAGAAAAAAGGCAAATGATGACGTAAGTACAAACCCTCGTGAAACTAACTTCTTTTACGCGTCTTTTTCTTTCCATCAAAAAAAAATAAAAAATGGTGCTGCAGCACCCCTGAAATTTGGAGCCTAGTTGCGCTTATGGAGATTTTCAATCTTTATTGTTAAGTTTTATCTGTAAATTGGTCAAAAATCACTGGCTTTATATGAGTGGAGTGTCACAAATAAGATTTTCATACCTTTTCAGTTAAATTAACTTCAGTTTCTACTGTAAAATTAATAGTAATTAAAAGTATTTCCATTAGTGGCTCTTGATTGCCTCTATAAAAATATTCCAATGAATCAAGTGCCGGTACACAATTTGAAGTAAAAAAGCTTTTCATTCTTGTTCCAGGTAAAAGAATTGGACGATTTCCCAAAAAAAATCTGCAGTTCTTGCTTGACAAACGTATCAACCAGTTATGAATTGAAACAACTATGCCAGTCCAGCAAAACCTATTTTCAATCGTTGTCCGACCTCTCGATGCTGGACTCGGAACTCAAAGTAGAATCGGATGAGGACGAGGACGAGGACGAACCTTTTGTGAAAACAGAACCTGATTGTCAGATGAATGTGAGTGACGAGAAGAGTTTGCCTGCAGATGAAATAAATGAAACTTCCCAAGGAGTTGTAGAAGAGCCTGTAAAGTAAGTTTTGTATAAGTATTATGAATTCAAAAACAAAATGCACAGTTTCAAACATAAATTACAGATTCCAATGTCAGAAATGTAGAAAGGCCGTTTTTGATCAAGAAAACGACTTGTTTATCCACCAATCAATTCACGATCCTGAATTAATTTGTAACCAATGTAACAAAAAATTCGATGGTGAGTAAATTGTACTTTATGTTTTGGATTTCCATTAAAATGAGATCAAATTTTAGCTGTGAAGGTTCTCCAAAGGCACATAAAGACCCACATGGTATCAAAAAAGTTCGCTTGCAGATATTGTCGCAAAGCTTACACAGAATCAGCAGCTTTAGCGAAACACATCAGGAGCGTCCACTTCAAATTGCCCACCGATAAAAAGCATGCTTGTCAATATTGCGGCCAAAAGTAACTTTGCTTGTTTGATTCATTTTAAATTTGTACTGATTTTGTTTAATTGAAGGTTTGTTGATAATAAATACAGATTGATACACGAAAGGAAACATACAGGTGAGATGCCTCTACAATGTAGCGTTTGCGACAAGTGCTTCTACGACCCTTCTTCGTTTAAGGCCCATTTGGATGCCCATTATGGTATTAAAGTGCATTTGTGCCCTGAATGCGGGTATGTATTCTGAGTAGAAGGGGCCTAATAAAAATTACATGGCAATTTTTAGGAAATCTTTTTTGACCGGTTCTTTATTGAAACAACATCAACATGTGCACCTCAAGCGACCGCATATTTGTAATGCTTGCGGCTTGAAGTTGTCACAACCGAGAACTTTGAGGAGACATCAAGAAGTATGCTTTAAAAAGTAAGTAATTTTATTTATTCAATTGTATCATTTATGCCTTGGAAACATAAGTCCGCAAATTCTTAGTTTTTGAGATACAGAGTGTCTGTGTCTCAAAAACTAAGCATTTGTAGACCCATATGTTTCTATTAACTTTTATCTTATTTTAAAGCGTACTATTTATCCCAGAAGTTTAATCCCATTATCATTAACACCCCGTTTATTTGCTTGTCTAAATAGAAACAAACTGACAACCAATATTTTTTAGGCTTCATGTTCGATGTACGAAGTTCGAGGAGAAGCAGCAAACGCAATCAAGTGGAACTCGTGGGAATGACAGTGAAAGTGATTCGCAGGAATAAGGAATACTTTATTAACTTAAGCAACATTTTTATAATAATAATAATAAATACGTAATATATTTCCTAATCTAAACAAATAACACTGTCATCATCGGTTTTCGGTTTATGTTTTGTCCCCAAAGGTATAACGTGGATGGATGATAAATTTTTAATGGCAGCCAGTGCTTGATTTTCCGCAACATTTCCAGTAGTAGGCGACTTAGATTTAAGCTTGGTTATTTCCATTGATTTGTTTTTGGAAACAGTTGTAGAGCCCTTTGCAAATCTTGAAGGGTCTTTTCGTACCTAGAAATTTAATTTTTGATAGTATTTTAATAATATCCGGCAATTGAAAGCAAGCCAGTGACAACTTAATAATTTCTAACATGCAGAATAGATTTTAAATTCTACTAGGGAGTTATTAGGCTCATACACGAAATGTCTATTTGTGTCAACTTTTACAAAATAATATAAATCAGAATACCTCTAAACAACACTTTAACCAACGAATCTAAGAAAAACTAATTGAAATAAACTCTAAAGCAACTACAACTTGTCACACCTAAAATTTGAGAGATGCAAAATAGAATTCAATCCTGTGACTTACGTACTTACAACTATAACTTTTTTAGAATGAAGGATTCCAAATGTACGGTTTTCTCGGAGGTTGCTGTGCGTTTTGCGGCTATATTACAAAAATTTACAGCTGATCATTGCAGAAATTAAGAATATAAAAAGCCAGACAAGATCTTTGTCTTGCTTTTTATTTGATATTTTAACTCTTTCCTATTAAAAGTAGCAGCATTATTATTATGGCGAGACATTGTACAATATAAATAAAAGATGTAAACACTTTTATTATTTCAATATTCTCTGAGTGGAATAGTAAAAATCCCTCTGACAATAATGATCCTTACCTGTGTTATGGACAATCCAGATTCCTTAGGAACTCTCACAGGAAACGCATTGGCCGGCAAACTTTGAGAAACCGACAATCCAGGCGGCAAGTTCATGCCGTGCACACTCGTTGCAGCTTTGGCTTTAGAATACTTCGAATATGGCTGTTGATTTTTAGCGTAAGGGTTCACGGACAGGTTGCTGGGACACACGGACAAAGACGGCGGAATGTTTAAACCCTTCAAAGCGCTCGGCTTGCTGCTGGTCTGCAACAGATTCTTGGTTTCTTGTTCCTTCTTTTTGTCGGCCAGTTTTTCCTGCAAAGTTTTCCCAGGACTTGTTTTGAAAGATGGACTGGAAACTGGAGGCGGCGTAACTGTTTTCGCCATAGTATGAGCAGGTTTAGGTAAACTGTGAGTTGGCAATTTCGGGGCGGAAGTTATTGTCGAACTGTAAGTTTTGGCTTTTTTTTGTTTGACAAAACTAGGCGATATTGTAGGATATTGGCTGACAGGCGTAATTGAAATATTTGGCCTATCTTTCATAAACATTTTATCTTCAGTAGCTTTAGGCTCCTTGAAAACATTTGCTTTTGGTACTTCTTTTGAGCTTAAATATTTAATTTGCTCTGCAGTCAAATTTGGTACTAAACTCCTACTGGCAGCTGTACTATTGAACACATTAGTTGCAGAATTCAAAATGCCACTCGGAGTCATTAATTGACTTGTAACCGCTTGGGCCATAGCTGGATTGTTTAATTGCCCACTAGCAAAAAAACTAGTCATTTGCTGTAGCTGAGTCAAAGTTAAATTTTGACTGTACTGTTTGATTAGCTCTTCTTGGTACTGCTTCAAGTAGCCGTACATGTTGTTTTGGCCGTATGTTGCGTAACTGCCTGGGCTTTTGGGTCGCGGTTGTCGAGGTTGCCCTGGAACTTTTGGCAAAGGCGGGCGCCCTCTAGGGCGGCCCAAAGTTGGCGGTTTTAAAGGTTTTTGAAGCACTGGCGGAGTTGGAAGTACTGGAACGCTACTGACAACTTTATTTGTTGGTGGAACATTAGTATTTTGCGGCTGAGGTTTTTTCAAAGTGGGTTTTGTTTGTTGGCAAAATTTGACTGCCAGCTCTAGTAAATTAACAGTCTCCGGAATATTTTCTTTAGTGAATCTTTTATAAGTTTCTGTAAGCATATTGGTAAAAATCGATTCTTTGCCGGGTATATTATGTTTCTGCACTCGCTGATAAGCCCTGTATACATCGTGCAGTAATTTTAAAGCTTGTTGATTTTGTATTGTAGCCAAATCTTTTATTTGGGCTCTGAAGCTTTGGATACACATATCCAAGGCTTGATCAGCGTAACTATTCCTGTCGCTGTCTTTAATATAGATTTTATCTCTGTCAGGACTGCGCTTCAACTGCACATACATATCCATTAGAGTTTTGGTATCATTTGTATTCCTCAGCACTTGAAGTACTAAACTCAAACATCTATTCATGTGTGCAGCCAAAGAACCCGGCCTGTCAATTTCTGTAGACGGTATACGCCAAATACCATTAAAAAAGTTTTTGTTGTTTCTTTCTGAAAACAAACCAGTTATGACAGTATCATCTTTGCACTTATACTCTCCCAGCAACAATTGTTTGCACTTGGTAAAATCTTTGCGGCCCTTGTAATGGAAAAATACGTGCGCCAACCTGTAAAGGGCTTTGTAGTTGTGCGGCAAGCGTAATATGCAAGTTTCCAAGCCTTGAATGCACTTGTCGACTAACTGTAAAGTTTCGCTGTTGGACATGTTTTCATTTGAAGACTCAGAAGATGATGAGCTGGAACTGGAAGAACTGTCGTCACTGTCAGAATCTGAGCTGCTGCTGTCGCTACTGGATGATGATGTATTGCTGGAGTCGGTTGTTTTGCGGTTTTCTGTATCGCTGTCGCCTTTGGCTTTAGCTAGAATTATAATTGGTTGCTCAATTTACAACAAAACCAAATTGATTGACATACCTTTTACGATTTGTGGGCGTTGAACTTTTTCTACTCCATTTTCCTTTTTATCCTTCACTGCGGTTTCAGCAACATCCACTTTACAATTCGTCTTCTGATCTTCATCTTCTGAATCTGATATAACCATTACATCTTCTACTTGTTCAACAATAGTCACATCCATGTCTTCAACTGGTTCAACAACAGTAGCATCCATGTTTTCTTCGGCCTTTTCTTTAAGAGCATTTTCTTTAATAGTTTCATCAACTCTATTCAAAAGCTCGTCCAAACATTTTTTGACTATTTGCTGAGTCTCTTCTTCATTTTTTGCTGTTGTCAGTTGATTACTATTGCTGACAGGTTTAGATTGATAATGCTTGGTAGTAGCATTGAGGCACTTTCTAAAAAAAGCACCCACACTGTTTGAAACCTCTTTGCCTTCGTGAAGCTCCATGTATTTCAATACTGAAGCGTGCACTCTGTAATGAAGTTCTAGGGCTTCGACAGATAAATGCTGAGGGTTGTTGTAGTTGATCTTATCGGGATAAGTGGCTGTGTTTTCGTTTAACAGAGTGTTTGCCTATAGAAAAATAATTACTACCTCAATAATAATAGTTTAATTATTACCAAGGGGCAAACCACCAAGGAATTCTTTGCCAAAACTGTAGGGAAATGAAATTTGAAAGAATTTATGAGAAATTGGAAAAATGTATAAGAAATTGGGGGAATTTATTGGTTTTAACAGTGAACGTAATAAAAATAGAAAAATACATTTTTTATCATGAACACTTTTGCGATTTTCAGGAAATTTGTAACAGGCATTGGCATGGATTTACGAGCCGTTTGGAAGAATTTGCGGAAAGTTTAGGGAATTGTTTACACAAAAAATGGGGGGGCGATAGTTTATTCCATAGACCTTGTTCACCTTGATAAAAATCAAAGTTCAAAATACCTCGAAAACAACTTTGAAGCTGGAACAGCTAAAAAGTATGAAGTTGCATTGAAATTATTCACTAAGGATTTCTAGAGGATTTAATTAGCTTTATTACGTTACGATCAGATTGAAATTAACAAAGATGTAAGATAAAATGTGGTTCAATGTCTTTTTGGAAAAAATCAAGCTTCAGAAAACGACATTGAAAGACGTTTTATTTTATTTTTTTTGAGGAAAGCATTTGAAGGATTAACTTGAAATTTTACGAGTAGATGAGGAAAGGATTGAAATTTAAGAGAAAAAATAAAAATTTGCTTTTACACGCTCACCTTGATAAAAACAAAGTCAAACGGCTTTAAAGCTTTGCAGCTGCAAAACGATTGAAGCTGCATTGAAAATACTCTGATGATTTAGATTTTGGAAAACTTTGAAAGGTTTTTTTTTTTTTCTTTTTTTCTATCAAAGATAGAAGACTGAAATTTTCAGCGATCCTCAACTCCATACACTAAATTATTCCCAAAGGATCACGCACAAATTACATTGAAAAGTGGTTTCGGTGAAATTGCTTGAATTTTTATACAGGACTTTCATTTCAAAACTTGCCACCCACCTTATATGCCTTAAGAGGCATGTTTGTGGAAATCGCCGAAACACGTCAACAAATTTATTGAAGGGAAGATTTTTAACATAAAACTGGACTCCCTTCCTTCAACCCCCTAACCCCCAGGGCTACCGCCCTAAAATTTTCAAACGAGACAGGGGATCGAGTGATAGATCATTTTAAAGGGCTGTTTAATGTTTACTTTTTGCCGCCCTTTTTTTTGAATTTAAGCTCAGTGTTGCAGAATAACACCCATTTCAATGTTTAAAAATGCCCACAACACACTTGTTGCATAAATAACTATTTTCGTTTATTAATGCAAGTAGGAAAACAGAAATGGCGCGATTAGATACAGGAAATTGAACGAGCTAACGGTCGACGATAAATATCCGCTCCCTAACATCTCAGATTTTTTAGATCATGGGAAAATGCCAGTATTTCTCGACCCTTGATCTTGCATACGGTTTCCACCAAATCGAAATCGACCCAACTGATATTTCAAAGACCGCCTTTTCAGTGGAAAATGGCCACTATGAATTCGTCCGTATGCCCTTTGGGTTGAAGAATGCCCTGTTCACATTCCAGCGCCTCATAGACAATATTCTCTAAGGCATTCAAAATGGAAAATGTCTGGTCTACATGGACGACATCATCATTTATTCACCTACCATCCATGAACACATAGATAGACTCAAAGAAGTGTTCAAACGTCTTCGAAAAGCAAATCTCAAAAGCCAACCAGACAAATGCGAATTTTTGCGCAAAGAAGTCGCATAGCTTGGCCATCTCGTTACCAAGGATGGTGTGAAACTAAATCCCTCTCAAGTAGATTGCATCCCCAGAACCAAAAAACCAAAAGGACATAAAATCATTCCTTGGACTTGCTGGATATTACCGCCGCGCCGCTTCATTCCAAATTACGCAAAAATATCCAAACCTCTCACAAAACTCTTACAAAAGGACGTAGAATTAAATTTTGATTCAGAATGCAAACCCTCATTTAGCAAGCTCAAAAACGCCCTAATATCTGACCCTATCTTAATACATATACCCAGATTTTAAAGAAGACTTTCTTCTCACAACAGACGCAAGTGCTTTTGCTATAGGCGCTGTCTTGTCACAGGGACCTGTCGGAAATGACCTCCCAATAGCGTTCGCATCCAGAGCCCCTTCCACCATCGAGCGGGAATTACTCGCCGTTGTCTGGGCTGTCAAACATTTCCGACCCTACCTGTTTGGAAGGAAGTTTACCCTGATCACTGACCATAGACTAACTTGGCTCTTTTCTATTAAAGACCCAGGAAGTAGATTAGGAAGATGGCGACTGAAACTCGAAGAATATAATTACAAAATAGAACACAAGCCAGGGAAAATCAACAAAAATGCCGATGCCCTATCCAGAATTAAATTAAACCACTTCCAAGAATGCATCAAATTCAATTCCAGAATTCTTGCCTCTAACGAAGAACAAAATGAGTAGGAAACAGAGTCAGACGATCCAGATGAGACTGATAACGAAGAAATAAAATTTATACAAATCTAGGTCGCTCATAGACTATTCAAAGATAGAATTCTTAAACTTGAAACTTTTGGATAAATCACATAAGGACATAATAACATTTTTTCGACAAAACAAACTAAGCGACTTGCATCATAGATATTAAATGACATTTTTGAAGAACATCTAGATTTTTAATTAAGGCTAATTAACATCGCTGCTAGCAAAACTGTTAAGAATAGAAGATATGTTATTGTGCCGCTTCCATTCGATCCAGAAAGAGTTGTTCCAGAACTATTCTACGTTTTCTTCAAAGACCAGAACGAATTCGATGTATCCAAAATTCAAAAACATATTGCATCGAAAATAATTTGGAACTTCCCATTCTTGAAGTACTATGCCTCATATTTTCAGACAAAGAGATAACTCAAAATATGTCAAGATACAGTAACAACTCCAAATGAAGACGAAATACCTCAAATCTTAGACCAATATCACAGCGGAAAAACAAACTTGCATAGAGGCATTAAGAGGGGCGTTTAAATAAAATGTCATTTACAGACCTTCACAAATTTCTGTTCAATTCCAAATTTAGAGACCACTTTTCAGTGAAATGAAGTTATGTTCATAACAATAATAGGTTGGAGTAGAAGTCGAAGCATTTTTGGTTGCAAAATACGCATTCTAAATAGTAAAATTATTACCATTTTGTTGACAACAATATGCAAATTTTGGTCACGGATTTAAATGAAAAAGGGATAAACATATAGAGTAGCACACCAACAATAAATGTCCAAAATTTCGGATAGTAAAATGCTGGAAAAAATGAATAGGACAGAATTTTAGAAAAATCACAATCACAAAATTAATCAAAATCTGCCAAGAGGTGATTGCTGTCATTTTCAGCAAAGACTCAAACCATAGACAATAAAAAATAAATAGATACCTTGGTTTATTATACAGGGTGTCCCAGCCGAGAGTGACCCATTTTAAATGCTTATAACTTTTAAACCAGATGAGCTAGCTACCTGCGGTTTGTGCCATTCGATTTCTCTTGGTCTAAAGTTTTTTCTAATAGGTTTCAAATTTTTTAAAAACTTATACAGGGCGAGTATAAAAAAATCCGTTTTTCAACACCGAAATTCTTCACTATTTTCAATGGAACGATCAATAAATGGTTGAATGAATTGTGTAACATTTCCTGGAAAATCGCTTCAATGACATTACAAATGTTCCACTTAAGATCTTCCAGGCTATTTTAGCAAAGTATTACCGCATCTTTCCTTGACATAACGCCCAGAGAAAAAAGTAGAACTCTCAAGTCCAGAGAGTAAGGTGTCTATTCTATAGGCGAGCGGCCAGCTTTCCTTATCCGTCTTTCCCTAAATGTCATATCTAGTGATTCCCTTGCTATTAATGAATAATGAGGTGGGGGCATCATCCTGCTGAAAATAGATATCATTCAAGATAACCTCCTGTCTCAACTATGGGAAAAAGAACATATCAGTGTATACAGTTTCTGTTATTGTTGGTTCATCAATGAAAATGGTCTGTATTTTTTCTCAATAGAGATTGCACACCAAACTGTTACTATTGGGGTATCTCTATTTAATGAGTTCCAGAGAAAATACTTTGGCACTCGTTAAATTTTCTTGGAAAATGTATCTCAACTTAATTGATATCTAACTAGAAAGTTACAAAATTGTTTGCCATAGTGATATCATTAAGTTCCTACAACATGAAGTTGCATGCGTTTGCAAAAATACCAAGATTTCGATTTTGATTGTTTTTCGGCTAAAACTTCAAGTTTTAGGGACGATGTCTATTGGTACATGGAAACCTTAAACATTAATCTTTTTTTTGACGTTGTGATATACAGGGTGTTCCATTAGAAATAGTGGAGAATTTCGATGTTGAAAAACGGATTTTTTTTTACTCGCCCTGTATAAGTTTCAAAAAAATTTGAAACCTACTGGAAAAATCTTTAGACCAAGAGAAATCGAATCGCACAAACCGCAGGTAGCTAGCTTACCTGATTTAAAAGTTATAAGCATTTAAAATGGGTCACTCTCGGCTGGGACACCCTGTATTTCTCTATGACTCAAACCAAACGTGAGTTCAGCGCTTCTCTAAAAGATGTCGCTGAGTTCGGGAAGGATAGTCACTTCTTTTAAACGCCAGTAAAACCTGTTTCACCTACTCAAAAATATGAAATACTATTATTTCATTTGTATCTGAATAATAGTTATTTATGTATCAAGGGAATTATGAGGGTGTTAATACCCCAGGGCAAAGTTTGTGACACCAATTGCCTGTGGGTATTAACACCTGATAATTGCCGTGGTACATAAAGTGTGTTTTTTTTTTAAGATAATTCCCCAAGTTAAAAATTTAGTAACTATGTTGGCAACACAAGCCTTTCCTTCATAAAAAATTTGAAAACATTGACAATTTTACATTGTATTCCCAACATAATGTCATTTTGACTTTTATCTTTAAAAAAAAAACACACTTTAGATAATTTTATTTCCTACTGAATTTACTGTA